GAGATTAATGAGCTTTTTCTCAGGAGAAACATCTGAACAGAAGAAGAGACGTCAGTTAAAGATCTCCTTTGTCTTTCAGTCTGATCTCAGGAGAAACTACAGAGCAGTTCATGAGATCTCTTTTTATTCACCTTCCTGATTGGTGCAGAATTTGGAAAAACCCATAAAAACATTGAAAAAGCTGTAGAATTCGGAAACCTGTGGAATTTGGTAACATTATAATAAAGTAAAAATAATTGTGTAATAATACTGTCATATGTATACTTGTCTTATTTTGTGTTTATGAAATGCATAACACAAATGCATACATGCTCCTACAGTTTTGTCTTCTCAGTGAAATCAAACTGAACCCTCCATTCGTGAGGAAATGTGTTTGTGAGCGGTTTCGCCACTGGCTGGTCTCCCTCAACATCCACTCTGGTGGCCAGTTTAATGACTGCATATGAAATCAACCAATTCTGAGCTTTAATCTGAGGGACAGTCCAACAAACCACTGAGTAAATTCTTCAGAAAACTTTAATCAAACAGTGTGAGATACAGACCAGAGCCGTCTACCTGCTGAGACCAAGGACACTGAGACTAGGACTGAGACAGACAGAGGACTGGACATTTCTTCATGGTAAATTCCCTTTAAAGTGGGGTTTCTTTGCTGTTTTGATATTGAGAGTTAAAATGTGGACTAAGTGTATCTCAGAGTTCAGGTCAGCTTCTGCATTCAGCTGTTGGCTGTTATTATTCTTCAGTATTTTGAAATAATAAATCGTGCACAGAGCATAATTAATGAAGAAATTATTAATTAACAAAAATCGTACTTACATTCTGCTGAAAAAGCGTCTGAGACTGGTTTACTGGAAGTGAGCTGAGGAGAGCACGTGAGCTCAGACACTGTCTGTCTGAGTGTGCAATCCTTTCTGGAGCATCGAGCTTTAATTTCCTTCCTTTTTTCTGAGTTCAGAGTTGAAGCACATTCCATCATTCATTTACTGATATTGTTAATCAGACTTTTAGCACTTTTAACTGCAGTACCTACAGATTTATTAACACATTAAATGACAGATGGAAGTTGTTAAACATAAACCAAATTCACACTTAAACAGGAACATGAATTGTACTTAAATTAAAGGTGCCAAAAAAATATTCTCTGCAGTGATATTGAAGAAATTTGGAGAGTAAATAAAATGTCTATATTTGTGTTGTAGTCATGGCAACTCCTGGTTCCCATCACCACCACTGTAAAGACATCTGAACCATTTCACACCAAACCACTCTGAATCTCTCTGTTTACATCTCACACACTGAGTTATGGGAGAATTTAGGAAAAATCTGTGGAATTCCCTTTGAAACACTTTTCTCCATTCCTGAAAGGTGCTGTATTAAGTCTAGTGCCACCATCTGACCACTTACTGTAACCACAATATTTCACACTGAAATGTCATTGGGTGACGTAAAATATAAACAACAACAATAAAAAAAAGGCCAATATTAAATATAAACAATCACAGGAATGAAAACAAAATTAAATTTAAATTTAAACTAATAAATACAATGAAATACTGACTCTGAGTCCAGAACTGCCTCCCATTTAAAATTAATATGTCTTATTAAGCTCAAAAGATGATGGTGAAGGAGCTGTACGGTTGCACAGCTGAACACTTGTATAAAAGAAGAATAGTGAAAGATTTTGCTTTAAACTGGATCAATTTGTGTCTTCAGCCTTTAAATGATTATTAAGTGCTGTTAAATGAAAGGTGATGTAACACAATGTAAATATGCTCCGGTATCGTTTTGGAACAGGTTGCAGACATCAAATTTGAAATGAGGGCATATTTACAAAAAACAGTGAAGTTCATAAAATAAAACATCAAATCTTGTGTTTTTGTACTGTTTTCAATGTAATACAGGTCAAAAAGAATTTACTAATCCTTGCTTTCTGTTTTATCAGCAATTTACACACTGTCTCAATAAAAAATAAAGTAAATGAAGAAAAAATATGTGGAAAATGTAAAATAGAAGAAGGGCAGCCTTTTGTATAAAACTGTAGAAAATCTCAGAAAACAGTGTCAGATCCTCTGTGTGGAGCTGTAATTCCTCCGCGGTCCAGCAGGGAGCAGCAGAGCATTTCAGGAAACACCAGTGTAGCTCATTTTTATACCTACAGCTTTAAAATGGCGAGGACACTTTAAATCCTGCTGCTATTACAGGTCTGTATGTTCCACCTGCACATGATAAAAACTCAGCTGTCACAAAGTTTCATGAGTAGATGGAAAAGTTTGCCCGTCTAAATTCACAAATGTTCTGTGTGTACATGTTCTTCCTGTCTGTGCAGGTAATTTTAAATGTCTGTACAGTGAGAGTGACATCAACCCATTAAAAAACCAGAACACATTACAAAACCAACAAGAACCAACAGAAACACTTAATAGTTTCTATGGGTTTTAGCAAGGTCTTTAGCCATTTTGCCCATTTTGGCCTTCAGTGCAGTTGCTGACCTACGGCATGCATAATGTCTAGTAAGCACCTGCACACATAAAACTTCACATTTTGACAGATGAAGACATTTTGACATGTAAAATAATGTTTTATGTTTATATCTAATCTATGCCATCTGAAGACTGTAAAGGGGGCAGTTGTGGACTGGAAGTTAAGGAACCAGCCCTGTGACTGGAAGGTCGCCAGCTTGATCCCCAGAGCCAACAGTACATGACTGAGGCGCCCTTGAGCAAGGCACCTAACCCCCAACTGTTCCCTGGGCACTGTGGATAGGGCTGCCCACCGCTCCGGGCAAGTGTGCTCACTGCCCCCTAGTTTGTGTGTTCACTAGAGTGTATGTGGTGTTTCACTGCATGGATGGGTCAAACGTGGAGGTGAGATTTCCCGTTGGGGGACTAATAAGGGTCTTAATCTTAAAAATATTCATGCATAAGTAAATGTTTGAGGTTTACAGACAGCAAAAATTGATGTTTCGTGCAGTTTTACGGTCCATCTTAAAAAGCTGAGATGGCAATATGTCGCCTGTTTACTGATCAGCAGAAACAGAGACGTTATAAATGTGTTTGTAGAAGCAGGTCTATTGTGAGTGTAATTAAACTACACATGACTAATTAATTACACATTTGAAGTGGAATTATATGCTTATTATCAAATGTTCTGAATTCTAGACTTTTTTATCAGATTTGTCTATTTTTAAAGAAACATTACTGCATATTTTCTTTAAACATGGGAACTAAAAGTACTTGGACTTTCCTCTGCGGTGGAATGTTTTCCTTCTACAGATGATCTAATCTGAGCAAAGAGGTGCTGCACAAACTGGTGACCCTGAAGTAAAAGAACATTTTATTTAGATTTTTAGTGGCACTCTAACCGGTGATTGTCTTTTATGTCTGGTTTGGTGGTCCACAAAAGACTCCCCTACTTGCTCTAAGAGAACCCAGATACAGACATACATTCCTTCAAAATAAGAGTCTTTGTAAAATAACCCAGAAAATAAAAACGAAGAAACTGTCACAGTGAATTTAACATGCTGGACATTGTGTGAACAGGCTACACTGTGTTCACATGTAAATTCTGAATTTACATTCTTAAAGAAATTTTATATCTGACAGGTGAACGCTGAGCTGCCGGCTTACCGTTCTGATGAATTGTTCTAATTGCTCTCAAAATGTGCAATCATAGCTCATAATAATAGATAGACAGCTACACAGAACTACAGGTAGGATATTTTAATGGCCTAAATCACCTTATCAGGTATTATTATCATTATTAAACCTACAGGTAGGATATTTTAATGGCCTAAATCACTTTATCAGGTATTATTATCATTATTAAACCTACAGGTAGGATATTTTGATGGCCTAAATCACTTTATCAGGTATTATTATCATTATTAAACCTACAGGTAGGATATTTTGATGGCCTAAATCACTTTATCAGGTATTATTATCATTATTAAACCTACAGGTAGGATATTTTAATGGCCTAAATCACCTTATCAGGTATTATTATCATTATTAAACCTACAGGTAGGATATTTTGATGGCCTAAATCACCTTATCAGATATTATTATCATTATTAAACCTACAGGTAGGATATTTTAATGGCCTAAATCACCTTATCAGGTATTATTATCATTATTAAACCTACAGGTAGGATATTTTAATGGCCTAAGTCACTTTATCAGGTAATATTATCATTATTAAACCTACAGGTAGGATATTTTGATGGCCTAAATCACTTTATCAGGTATTATTATCATTATTAAACCTACAGGTAGGATATTTTAATGGCCTAAGTCACCTTATCAGGTAATATTACCATATTCTTAAAGGGTTCTTTATTAAAGACAATGGTTCTGTATAGAACCATGAACACATAAAGAACCACTTGCATGCTTAAATGGTTCTTTGCATAGTGAAATAATTCTTAACATAAAATGTGTTCTATATGGTTCTATCAAAATAGTTCTATATAGCACCAAAAATGGTTATTGCTATTGTTACGATATCAGTCTTGCAACAGTAGCAGAACCCTTTCTGGTTCTATATATAGAACCATATACAACACATTCTCCATCAGTCTGAAAAACCATTTCACCATGCAAAGAACCATTTAAGCATGCAGTTGGTTCTTTATGTGTTCATGGTTGCGTATAGAACCACTGTCTTTACTAAGGAACCCTTGAAGAACCCTCTTTGTGTGTGGAGTGTAGGATGTTCCAATAGCCTAGATCACCTTTTCAGACAACGTCACCCTCATTAAACCCGCAGGTCGGATATTTTGGTCTCCAACAAACCCGTTGCTATGGCTCCTATGCTGCTCTCCAACAAACCTGCTACGGTTGCTATGGCGATCTCCAACAAACCCTCTGCTATGGTTGCTATGTGGTCTCCAATAAACCCGCTGCCACGGTCGCTATGGTGACGTGAACAACTTCTCGGCTGACCAATCGGCGCAGGGGGCGGGGCCTGCCCGAATACAGGTAGGATATGAAATAAATAAATGAGAAGGGCCAGTAAAGCGGAGAAGCAGGAGCTCCGCTCTGGTCAGCAGTCCACGCCTCCGCGCTGCTACAGTGTTGTTGGAGGAGCCGAACAGGAGCTGCTCTCATCGAGGTACAACTCAGTTTAACAGCTCTACATTGGCTTTTACTGCACCAGCTCACTAACGCTGGGTAACAGTAACTCTGAATGTGTTTAAGTCTAATTCTTATTTCAGTATTAAACCGGATTTTACTGAAGTTTTCCCGATTTGAGAAGCAGGTAGGTCTAATAAAAGCAATATTAACCCCCCTGAGGATCATTCGTGCTTGCTACGAGGCTAAAGTTGGCTGCTTGTTGGAATTTTCCCGTTCCACCTTAAATGGTGCAGCAGTTACATTCTGGCGCCTCAGGCGCCAGAATGTAACTGCTGCACCATTTAAGGTGGAACGGGAAAATTCCATCAAGAAGCTTGCGAACAACGACGAATGTAGCAAATTGTTCACTTTTAGATAAAGACAAACTCATCAAACACTATTAGATCACCAATAAGAGCCCGTGGATCTAAATTAGCTCGATATGATCGATATTTGTAGTCATTACTGTGTAAATAACCCGCTAAGGTTGACACTATAGGCTATAGGAAGCTGACGCTAACCGCGTTAGCATTGTACTAACATCGTATTTTCAGATGTGGTCCATATAAATATATAAACTTTGTTTGATTCTACACTAAATTCTGTGAGAATGTAGACTTTATTGGTACCGAACGGTGCGGTTTGTCGCCTCATATCACCTATGAAGCTAACTAGCTTTAGCAGTCAAGCTAACCAGCTAATATCCGAGTTAAATGCCCTGAAATCGCCAAAAAAACAGCATTAAGTCGTTAATCTCGGTTATTTTAAAGGTTGTAGGTGTTTCTCAAGCCGGATGAAGGCGATCTAGAACCGTAAATTCGGTTCCTGTGCTGGTCATTTGTTGTTTTTGTGTTTTTTAATGTGGAAAACGCCCTTAAACAGTCAGCTCTTCTGTATTAAACACTGAGGTTAAGTGTAAATGTGTGTTTGTGATTCATGACAGACAATAACAAACAAGCGAGTGGAGGTTTAAACCAGGGAACGTCATATAAACGTCTTTCCGATTTCTTTCGGGTTAATAAACCTCAGGATCAGAACTGGAACCCTGTTATTGTTCAGAGCAGCTCTACCTGTGCTAAACACCCGGAAGTAGGTCTTTACTGTCGATTTGAAATATTGATTAATATTAGTATTATTATGAATATTAATCCCAGAGCTCTGAATCTGATCTGATACCACGCTAATATTAAAATAAAGCAAAACATGCTCGAGCCGTGCGGTAGACTGTGTAACTTTGGCATATAATTATAAACAGTTTATTGTTAAGGTACAGATGTTCAGTTTTATTTGGTCTTTTAAAGCTGTGTTTAGGTCAAACATGGAGATTTGAAGATTGTAAGACTGTTAAACAGTAAATTCTTTCATTTGTGTTGCTGTTTGACATTTTTACAGACTGCAGATCCTGCAGAGTCGCTCCATTAGATCAGCGCCAAATGGCTATAATGGCACAATTCACAAATTTTTTTTATGTGAAGAAAAACTTGTCCTCTGTAGTTTTAATTAAATATCGCACTTACTAAAACAGATTTTCCCAACTTATTAAGCTGATTGATTCATTCACTTGTTTATCAATTGCCAAATAACCCTGACACGAATAATTTAATTAGATTCAAGCTTATTGTCATTACACCAGTTCAGAGTTGTACAGTATAATGAAATACTGTCCGGGTGCATATCAGTGCAGTGATTACAAAATAGATTAAAAAAGACAATGGTGCAAAGAGAAAATAGATTAAAAAAAGACAATGACCCAGTATAATCTAGTTTTGACAGGCTGGAACATTTCAGACTAAACTGGCCGCGATTCTCTCAGCTTAGACCTTCTAATGTCAGATTATTGACAGTTAAATGACTTTTGTTTGAACGTAGCAAAGATGTTCATTTAAATGCTTTACTCTGTCTTTTTTGTGTGATGATGTGGATGTTATGCTTGACGCACTCTGCTAAGAATGGAGAAGACAACAAATGATTAACGTTTAATAAAAGAAAGATGTCTACCAACAGCTGTCTATAACCACAGTCTACAGTCACTAAAACTGAAACATTCAAAATCAAGAATATCCTGTTTATACTGTTTAAATGTCTCAGAAGATGGAAATGTGGATAAAAAGGCAACTTAACTCATTAAACAGTGAAGTAACACGGTGCGTGTTCATAATTTACATTAAAAAGTCCATGAAATGAGTGTCGAGTATCTCATGACATACTGTACGCCTGTGTTTTATCAAAATCATCCATGTTTATTCATAAAAGATAAATTCTTTCTCGCTGGGAAAATGATGTTCACATATGGTTTGTTTCGAAATTCATATGTTCAAATAGGTAATTTGCTTAAAATGCCCAGTGATAAAACTAAAGCTACGCTGAAAAAAGTGCTTTAATTGAATCAAACGTGTACATCAGTTCCACATGAAGAAAATGCTACATCAGTACATTTTCTCCTTTCAGTTTACTCATTTTTGGTCAGAATGAAGTGACTGTAATATATGTTGTCCGTGTGGAGCTGATGCAGACGTTTGAATCAGGTAGAATCAGCGTTCTTTATTTTCAGGTGCTCACACAGGTGTGTAAAGTCAGCCTGCTGTGTTTGCCAGTGCTGTTTGTGCTCTTTGTTCTCTTTCACAGTCGATCATTAACGCTCACCAACGGCCTGAGGGTGTCTGACAGTCAGCTAGGAGTGTCAGAGCTCTAAGAGAGGGGGAGGGTAGTGAGGGTCCTTAGAGAGTCAGATGGGCTGGTGGTAGAAACTGTCCTGGAAACTGGTGCTCTTTTATTTCCTATTCCAATACACAGATAGACAGACACATAGATAGACAGACAGACAGATTGATAGATGGATAGATAGACAGACAGATAGATGTACTTTATTGATCCACAAGGCATTTTAGGCATAAAAGAACAAGATGTTTTTCAGAAACACCAGTTAATGTTCCTCACGTTTCTGCTGTTCATCTGCTCATAACCTCGTAACAGTAGCCGACAGCAGGGCAAAGCATTCACACTAAATCAGATCTTGATTTTTCTGCTAGTTTATAAGCACTTTATTAGTTAATCACAGAAACTAAACAAAGTTGATTGTTGTATATTTAAATCAGTCGCTCTGTCTAAAGCCGCTGAAGCTTTAAGTCACTTTTGCAGTGAAGACGGTAAATACTGTGTGAGGAAAAGCTGTTCCAGATATCAAAGTGAAGCTGCGCAGCTCACAGTCCAGCAGAGGTTCCAGAGTTCAGTGGGGTGTGGCGGGAGAACCGGTACTACAGAACTTTATGTCGTTCCTGAAATAAACACAATTATATTTACGAAAGTGTTTATCAATAAAAATGAAAATAACGTTTAAAATCATAACATTAAAAATAATTAGGACGATGTTTTTGTGTTTGTAATTATTATGAGGAGGCAGGAGAAACAGTTTAGAAATGATTACATTAATGACGTTTTATTGGCTGCAGTCCTGATTTAACTTAAATTCAAATAAAAGAAACAAATCTGAGCTGCGAAACCAGGAGTAACAGTCCCAGACGCCTGGTTACTATGGACACTGAGTCACACGTCGCAGGCATGCAGACCTCACAGCAGCTGAACTCCAGTGTGTCTGCAGTGCTGCATGAGCCTGTGTGAAGATCACTCCAGCTGTAGTCTTCTACTAATACATTCACCCACGATTCCATGTTCCTCCTCAGTCATTCAGTGGATTAGGACATTATCGGTCTGTTGAGAGATGACCCCACTGTGGGTTTGAATTGTTCATTTGTGTGATTCACCACACTTGAAGATGTGAGTGAAATCTAAATGAATGAATATAAGTGAAATCATCTTAAAAAAGGTTCTTCGAGGGTTTATAGTTTATAGTTTTTGGTGCTATATGGAACCATTTACAACAAATTCTCCATCAATCTGAAGAACGTTTTCACCATGCAAAGAACCATTTAGTCATGCAGAGGGGTTTTAAGTGTTCGTGGTTCCATACTGAACCATTCCCTTTACTAAAGAACCCTTGAAGAACCATCTTTTTAAAGAGTGTGACTTTTATGAAGTGCATCAAGTTGATCCTGGTGACCAAGTGGACAGAGTTTCTCCCGTTTTCTGTTTTTGTCTTCGGGCTTCTTAATCTTTTCTTCGTGATTCCTCTGATTGTCTCCATTCATCATGTTCTTGGCTTTACTCTTCCTTTTTTACCTTCAGCTCTTCCAAGCATAATGGTCTTCTCTAATGACCTGGTTCTTCTCATTCATTTTCTAATGATTTGGATCCTCTTATCTGGGCCTTCTGCCAACTTTTTTTTCCACAGTGGAAACAACCCAAAAATTTCATTCCATCCAGTGTGTATAGTCTTGATGCAAAAAAAAAAAGTCACGTCCAAATATAGACGCTAAAGGGACAGAAAGGCGAAATTAAACCTGTTCTGAGGTGTTTGGGTCTGTAGCCTGATAGGCTACCTTAACGTTAGCATAGCGATCAGCTCCAAACCCAAGCAGCACCACCCACCACAGTATTGAAAATTGGTGCTCTGTTGACACAATTTTAGATGATGGCAGTTTTTCTGGCTCTGATTTCCCCCCTTTTTTTGTTAGCGCCACCTATCAGTGAACTTTCACACCGACAATCAGTGCGTTTACATTCACGTAATATTCTGAAACCTGCAGAAAATCTGTTTGTTCAGTAACTGGTTCAGGGTGTTTTCATGCTTTTGAGTAATCAGATAATGGAGAAATTCCAGGTCTACATGAGTCAGACAGTAATCGAATTTCTACTTTACAACCAGCCAATAAACTCACAGAATAAGACGTGGCGTAAACGTAAAACTCAAACGTCATGCGTGCCTTTTTTTTAAACGTCGAGTCACTTCAGCAGAAAATATGAACAGACATCATCTAGAAAATGAAGAATATTTAAATTCTTAATTTTGTAGAGCGTGTATTCGTTTCGTGGGCGCTGAGTTAAGCGCTGCTCGCTGTTTCCAGGACGGTGCTTTGTTTTCACACATGCTCAAACAGAAAAACGAAAGAAATCAGAGTAAGAGTTTACAGCACTGAGAAACCCCATTACTGAGCTCAGATCAGCCTCTTTATCAGATTTACTAATCAGATTTATAGACCATAATCTGATCTAAGACATCAGAGTGTGCTGTTTACACGATCACTTAATAATCAGATCACTGCAGAAATCTGATAATGATCGGATTATTAAGTGCATATAAACACATTCAGTGAGCTTTCTAAGATATAAATTGGTGGAATGTGTTCATCCATTCTGTCAGGACGTCATAATTTAGAGATACTGTCATCATTTTTAAATTTCTTCATTTTTACACACCATGGTTTACTGTAATGCGGTCATACTGCCCAAACCTACCGTGCGTGACATCAGACGAGAGACATGGCAGCTTAATATATGGTTTACTGGTACACGTATATCAGACACAGCGGTGTTGCGAATGTGTAAATCCATGTCCTGATTGGCCAGCCCCCGAACGAGTTACCATGGAATACATTTTTTTCATGTTTCATGAAGTTTTTCACAACATGAAGCAAAATCCCTTACATTTTTTCGTTTCACATTTTGTGTATTAAACTGTTCTTCTTCTTTTTCTCTTTCAGGGGTGAACAATGTCTTCAAGCAAGTTTCAAGCAACTTCTCCGGCTCCTATTGTCCATTTTCCTACGGACTTTACGTTTACCTCCACAGACACGTCAGATGACTCGCTATCAATTAACGTGTCTGACTTTTTGCAAAGACAGATTCCACTTGAATATTTCAACCTTGCCTCCACGAGTAGCTCCTCTGTTCTTTTCCCTGACACATCTTACCGACCATTACAGAGGGAGAAGATTCACTTCTGCCTGGAGTGCGGGAAGAGCTTCGGAGATACCAGCAATCTCAAAACCCACCTGCGCATTCACACGGGAGAGAAACCGTACCAGTGCTCAGAGTGCGGGAAGAGCTTTAATCAAAAGAACCATCTGCTCAGACATCAGCTCGTTCACACAGGAGTGAAACTGTATTACTGCTTCGAGTGCGGCAAGAGCTTCACTCGGCAGACAACTCTGGAGCAACACCAGCACATTCACACTGGAGAGAAGCCGTTTCAGTGCTTAGACTGTGGAAAATGTTTTAATCAGCAGAGTAATCTGAGACTGCACCGGCGCATTCACACCGGAGAGAAGCCGTACGACTGTCCGCATTGTGGGAAGAGCTTCGCCCTGAGGAGTGCTCTGAAAAAACACCTGCCCATCCACACCGGAGAGAAGCCCTATCACTGCACAGAGTGCGGAAGGAGCTTCACTCTGAAGAGTCACCTCACGACTCATCAGCGCCTTCACACCGGAGAGAAACCGTACTTCTGCGGAGACTGTGGGAGGAGCTTCAGGCATTCGGGTACTTTAAAGGACCACAAGTGCATTAGAAGGGAGGAGGAGGAGGAGGTGGTTCTTGACCTGTCACTGCCAAAAAAACAGGATTTTCAGGAAAATCAGGATAGCTTAATAGTAGTCGTTCCTTGCCAAATCAAGTAGGACTTGGCAGGTTACGTTATATATTTACACAAAAAAATCGAGTGAAAAAGGTTATAGCAGTGCTAGTTTGTAGTTCTGAATGTTTAAAGTTTCCCCAGCAGTTTCCTAAAGACTAGTTTAACTGTTTAACAGAGCTGAGGTATTTATTGGGTATAAAAGCAGCACTAAGAATAATATTTTTAATTCAGTTGGTTCACAGGTTTATTTATGTCTTTGTGAAAGCATGAAATGTTTCATTTTTAATTAATTCACCTAAATTATCTTTATGTAGCATTCCTACATTTCTAGTAAACCTCAGACTTACATTGTTCTGGATGTGCTTAAAACGACTTCACAAGGCCCGAAATGTACTTCACGCGAGGACCAAATGCAGACAGGGTTTCGCATGTAGTTGCGTTCAAAAATGCACCATCTTGTGCCAAGATGGCTCATATAAACATAAAAAATATGATCCATTATGGAGAAGAGGTAAAGCAGCTCACCCTCTTCTACTGCCCACGTTCAGCTGTTGAAGCTGTCAGAATTACAGTAAATCCTCTCTGATTTGTCCTCTAGCGCCCCCTTCAGTACTGAGTGTTTTGACAACCACAATAACGTAAAAACACGTGGTGAGTTTGTACAGAAGGACAGAATGTGTCCGTGCGTTGGCGAGTGTTTGCAAGTGCTGTCATTTGCATTTGCACACGTGTGTTGAGTCTGTTTCTGGCCTAAAAGTCCATTTCAGAGGCCTTTTGACCAAATATCTTCTCTAAAGTTTTCTTCTCGTGTTTCTTGCTAAATAACTCTGACATTTCTAGAACGCTATATCACATTCATAATCTTCCTGAGTAATGTAACGGTTGCCTTTAAGCAAAGGGATTTTGCACATGTTTTTGGTTTGCTAATAGGTCTTGGTTTTAGCTGCAGGCCATGTTTATGCTTATGAGTCATTCTCTGTCGTCGTGGTGTTCATCTACGAAGTTGTGAAAATCACCTCTATATAGGAATAAATTACAGAAACCTGATGAATATGCATCGTTTGTTCTATTCCTAAATTAATCAACAAAAAATATTAATATTTTTGGAATTTTTATTTGTTATTTTAAGTCATGTTGTAGTTTTCATGTTTTTGACTTTATAGATGCTAAAGTATACATTTTATGTAAAACAATAGTTTATTTGTGTTTGATTAAATCTTAAAAATGTATTACAATTTGTGACTTCTCACCTGTAACTGTAAAATTGAAATATAATCTGTATTTTGGTCCATTATTTATGTCTTTTTTATTTAATGCATGGTTAATGAGATCTCCCTTTAATATTTGACAAAACTAACTAAAAATACTGACAGTTTTAAGTGTGATAAAACGTCAGTAGTGTTACTCAAATAAAATAGAACAAGTGCAATATCTCAGTTTCTAAATACCACGGGACTTATTTAACTCAATATACAGCAAAAGCTATTACCCTTCATTTATTTCATTTCCAGTCAAAAAGGCCATTAATACATAGCATTATTTGCTCATTTTTCAGGAAAGCAGAAAATTATCCAGAAGCTTCAGTTACTATATCAGCTGTGTGAGTCAGTGTGTCACTCTTCATTCCAGCTTCCACTCTTTTCAGGAGACTCACTTTCAGCTCCTCAAAGAATCTGCAGACACACCTCCAAAGTTCAGTCTTAGAAGCTGGTGGATCATTTTCTGAAGTAATCAAACACATTCAGTGGTGTTGAGGTCTGGACTCTGGGGTGGTCAGTCCATCGTTCAGCTTCTTTGTTTGATGTGTCCGTCTCCTTTTCTCAGTGAGGTTCTTCTTGATCAGCTACACATCCTTTCAGACCCACAGCGCTGAGTCGTCTTCTCACAGTGGAAGGATGGACAGAAACACCTGTGGATGTTTTCAGATCTGAAGCAGCTTGATTTTCTCCTCTCTCTCAGAGATGAAAGCTTTAAGTGCTGTTTATCTGATGGGGGCAGTTTGGTGTCGACCAGGCACTGCGGGTAGTTGTTAGGAGCCCCATTTTCTATGTAGCCTTTAATCTTCTCCTCCTCTAATCTTCTCACAGATGTCTCCTGAAAAGCACTAACTTGTACTTAAAGGCTGTTTTGACTGGAAATGAAATAAATAAAGAGGGTCTCTGGGTTTTGTTCAGTACTGTAGCAGCAGGCTATTTTAGAAAAGTTTAAACCTTTAACTTTGTCAGTGGTGTTATGGCTTTACTACAACACTAGGTCAGTCACACGAGTGAATAAAACTGATGTTTAAAATACAAATCTGTGTTTTGCTGTAACATATTGTACTTTGACTTATCTGAGTTCTGTAAGTGCTGCTGAAAGGCAGGGATCGTTCGTTGATGGTGCAGCATTGGTGTTACTTTTATGTTTTCACTGAAAAAAAAAATCTGCTGGAAAATGAATTGTTTTAATATTTAATATCTTTGTGAAATGTTCTTTCTGTGACGTTATTGATGTTTAGGTAGAATGAACAGTTATTTTAAACCAATTTAAGCCCACCAGTAACTTAAGTTGCCACAGTGATTTCTTTTAAAAACACAAAATAAAGTGTTATACAGATTTTAGAAGACTGTACAATGAGTTTTATATGCATACAGTTTACTTCACCTCTGTCTTGTGATAAAGCTGGTAAATATTGGACTCATGAGGAAATTCTCTCAAATAAAAGTTAATATATATATATATTTGTGTGTTTACTGTACTTTTTTAACTGACATTTATAATTATTAAAGTATGTCTTTTATTGTGTTGGTACAGTCAGATATTCACGAACCCTGTGATTGTCCTAAACATGCTCATATCCTGAAAAGGGTGCATTTTGAAGCTGTTCCAGTTGCAGTTTTGCATATTTTAATACTTCTGTCGCTGCTTCTTGCATATTTTTATATCTATGCCTTTATAACTTAGTAATTGCATTTAGCATGTTATAGCAGGTTTGGCTTTCAGTGGAAGAGACTTTAATGTTTAATAGTATATGAATGTTAATAATGTAACTTGCTTTCATATGGTTGTTTCTAAACATAAATATTAGACATTAAGAATTTTTTCAGTGATGAGATACAGAGCCACTCAATGCGATTGCGTTTTTCATTAATTGTAATCTAAATTCTTGAAGTATTAACAGTGAAATTTCTGATTATGTGCAAAGACTTCTCAGCTGCCAGTGTAGGAACCTCTTCAGGTTGCTGTAATAAGATCCCCTTTTTGTGAGTTTTTAAAGAATATGTGTTGAATATAACTGAATACATTTCACATTTGAATTACATGTCAACATTAATCAATCAGATTGAATAAACTGGATTTCCTGACTTCAGATATTCATGTAAAATAAAATGCAGTATATAATTCAGGTTTTCTATTTCAGTGTTTAAATCCGTGTTTATGAAACAGGCTCATGTTGATCAAAGACGGGTAGAGGTTTAATTTGGGGGTGTTGAACTGTCTGCAGTACTGCTCGAGCTCTTCTGTGTTCTTTGGTTGCTATGGTGATGTCAACAACTTCTCGACTGCCCAATTGACGAGCTGCACGTGAGAACTGCTCGCCAGTCGTAGTACAGGAGGCGGGATTTGTCTGAATACAGGTGGGATTAAAAACTCCAGCAGGCTCTGTGATGACGTGGTTCCAATGTGGTTCCCCCTGCAGTCCAGGTGGGGGCGCTGATTGTATCAGTGTGGTTCCCCTGTCGTCCAGGTGGGGGCGCTAATTGTATTAGTGTGGTTCCCCTGCAGTCCAGGAGGGGGCGCTAATTGTATCGGTGTGGTCCCCCTGCAGTCCAGGTGAGGGCGCTAATTGTATCAGTGTGATTCCCCTGCAGTCCAGGTGGGGGCGCTAATTGTATCAGTGTGGTCCCTCTGCAGTCCAGGTGGGGGCGCTAATTGTATCAGTGAGCTTCTCCAACCCCAGTAAAGCGGAGAAGCAGGACCGCTCTGGTCAGCAGTCCACGCCTCCGCGCTGCTACAGTGTTGTTGGAGGAGCCGAACAGGAGCTGCTCTCATCGAGGTACAACTCAGTTTAACAGCTCACTAACGCTGGGAGAGAGGTTCACTTTCTGAACAGCAGGGTGAAAATATGGAGACCAGCTCAGGAGCAGCTTTAATCCAGACTTCACTGAACAGGAGGACTTACTGATACATTATCTTACAGATACATTATCAGAGCTTAAAAAGTGAATGATTTCCATTCTAAATGCTCAAAAGCTGTATTGTGTTGTGGTATCTGTGGGACTCTGGAGAGCTAAGGTGTTTGAGTTGATCTGCTGTGTCTCTTTCTGGGGTTTAACGGTATAAAGTTTGTGTCATTACATGTTATTCCACTATCAGTCACTATCATTACATGTTATTCCACTATCTGTCACTATCATTACATGTTATTCCACTATCAGTCACTATCATTACATGTTATTCCACTATCAGTCACTATCATTACATGTTATTCCACTATCTGTCACTATCATTACATGTTATTCCACTATCAGTCACTATCATTACATGTTATTCCACTATCAGTTTTGAAATTGGGAGCAGATATTATAGATACGAAACCAATGTATATATTTGAGTTCATGCTGTGTTCTACTGTATGTGAAGGTATAAAAAGTGATCAAAATTCTGATGCATATACTGATATGATATAATGCGTATATGAACTGCAGTGATGTGCGAGAATGAGGGATGCACAGTATAATCGGTATCATGATGGTATCGGTAGATTTGCTTCATAAGTTAATCTTCTCTTGACAGATGTTTCAGTTTGTTATTTCAGGCTGATATGATGTGTGTATTTAACTCCAGAGGAACAAAGTGTTTAGGTGACGCTGTGTTGCTGCACTGAAACATCTGTATGTTATTAATTTTACTGCATTTATAACTCTACACTATAAATATTGGATACGCCATTGACTCAATTCTTATATCGTTCCATCCCTTTCCCTGCAGATGTTGTATCAGCTGGTTCTAGAGCTACTTTCTGAGACCTGCTAATGTTCGGGTGGGAGTTGTTGATCAATGGCTGATAGATTAAGAGGTGACCGAAGTCACAGCAGCACTTCTCTATGGTGGGTCATTGGGGGATTTTAGGAGAGGAAGGGTAGCGGTTGGGAATGGTTTAAGAGTTTGATGGCCTGCTAAACTGTTCTGCAAGCTGGAGGTCCTTGATTTCTCATTCACTCTCCAGACAGATAGATGGATGTAGCTCCACAAAAGTCAGTGACCGCCCTCATTTATTTAATTGCCAGTCAGTAGCCTTTAAGTACAAGTTCTCCATTTTCAGGACATATTTTTGAGGAGAGTAGATACAAGATCTAACTTGGAAAAAAGCTAGAGAGAAAATGTGTCTCCTAACAACCACCTGGAAGACCTGGTAGACACCAAAACTACCCCCATCAGATAAACAGCACTTAAAGCTTTCATCTCTGAGAGAGAGGAGAAAATCAAGCTGCTTCAGATCTGAAAACATCCACAGGTGTTTCTGTCCATCCTTCCACTGTGAGAACACTGGAACTGGACGGCTTTGTCTAATAAAGGAAGTAGCAGAAGTAACCCACACACCTGGTCAGGAGGCTGAACATTCTGAGTTCAATGGACGCTAAAAATGTATTCACAGGCCAAAACCTGTCAAGCAGTCTTAGAGAATGGAGCACTAGCAGTAATTCTTCAGTAGTCTCCCAGTGGTCATCTATTAATGCCAGCCTTCTAAACGTCGTTCAGGCAAACGTGCAAGTTCATCAGCAGCTGAGCTCCAGCGTTCCTGTAGTATGCATGAGCTTGTGTGAAGATCCCTGCAGCTTTATCTGCTTCTGTTTGAGAGTGTTTGAGGTTCTGGTGCTGCACTATTGTGTACACTAATTTGTTTATTCATGCTGGTTGGTGTAAATCTGATGTTAATTTTTGATTGGATTATGTAAGCAAAAAACAGATCAATTACAAGCCCATTTTTCTGTTACAGATACAATGTAACTGGCACTGTCATGCATGAAAGTGATTGGCTTGTGAGCTAGCCACCATGTTTCTGTGGAGGTTTTTAAATATGCCATGGTGTTTTCTGAAAAATCATTCTTGGGATAGTTTTACAAATCTTCTTTTCACATGATTTTCACCTAATACTCTGCAGTCAATATCGTTTAGTTCTCTGTAGAAACAAAGGCATCAAAATCAGGCAACAGAATCAGTTTGCAGATGTAGAGTAGTATGTAGACTACTTGTCTAAATAGCCATTTACACCCAGATAATGGCTATGGTGTGATGTAGCATAAAAATGACACCCAAAGTTATGAAGGGAGAACAGTGAGGTAGAGGTCTGCACAGGCCTATTACTAACGCCCACCACCACCCGATTCAACCACTTATCACATCCGCCTGTGTCCCGAAATTTTAGTGTCATTCTTGCCCACTCCCACTCGTAAGACCTAGCAACATTTTTGGCTTGGCTTCACTACTAACATATTTATCTGTGTCAGCATTATATTATTAGTTAATTATTCTATTAGATATTCTATTAGAAGTCAGCTGACATTAAATTACAGCCAAAACAGAGACTGAGGCTGCAGCGCAGGTGAAAAAGCCAAAAGATTTGTCATGGAAATAAATCAGTTACATTTTGTGCACAAGTTGCTTAGTGGACGTCATGTAGCTTTGTGTTTTGCTGCTTTTACAAGCAGCCAATTATTGTCCAACCCCGCCCCACTTAGCCTGACATAATACGGGGGGTATTATTATTATTACATGAAACTGTAACCCTGTGGCTGTTTACTCGCAATGTGCGCGGTGCCTCAAAATTAATCCCACCTGTAAATTAAATAGATGATCACCCGCAGATGAACCCACCTTGTGAAGACCCCTACAGTGAGGGCCCTAAAAAAGAGCTTTGTGGGACACCAGAGGAGAGACGGTGCTCACTCTGTATTGTGATGTTTCCGAAAGCTAGAGTCAAGTAAATTATGCTTATAACCATGTTATAAAGACTTTTATTGAATGAAGAGTGCCATGGTTTTACACTTTTTTCTATAGATTTTGAAGCCTTGGCCATAGAGCACCTTTAATACTAAATGGTTATTTCCCTACTAGCAGCATTCTGTTTTAGTTTGAGGTGACTTGCAAACTCTTCTGGGACATTAGGCACAACCCACAACTTTGTTTTTGTTCCATTTGAGATATTTTTCTTCTTTTTCTCTTCCAGCAATGAAGGACATCCTGAAGCAAGTCCTCTCCTTCTCCTGGTGTCCACTGTCCTACATGCTTTAAATGTACTTTCACAAACGCATCAGGAGATTGCATCACAGGAAATATGTTATGTTTTTGAAATCATGAACATGGCCTCCACAAGTAACTCCAGTGCTCTTTACACCGTCACATCTTACAAGCGATTGCAGAAAAATACAGGCAGAGAGAAAACTCACTACTGCCTAGAGTGCGGAAAAGGTTTTAGAGACAGTAATAATCTCCAAACGCACCAGCGCATTCACACCGGGGAGAAACCGTACCAGTGCTCAGAGTGTGGAAACAGCTTCACTCAGCAGAATCATCTCCAAAGACATCAGCGTATCCACACAGGAGAGAAACCGTATCAGTGCCTGCAGTGTGGGAAGAGTTTCACTCGACAGAATACTCTCGAACTTCACCAGCACGTTCACACCGGACTAAAACCGTTTCACTGCTCAGACTGCGGCAAGAGTTTTAGCCAGAGAAGTAATCTGAGGCTTCACCGCCGCATTCACACCGGGGAGAAGCCATATTACTGCTCGGACTGCGGGAAGAGCTTCTCTCTAAACAGTTCTCTCAGAGCACACCTACAGATTCACACCGGAGAGAAACCCCATCACTGCTCAGAGTGCGGGAAGACATTTTCCCTGAAGTGCTACCTCAGAACTCACCAGCGCGTTCACACCGGAGAGAAACCGTATTTCTGCTCACTGTGTGGAAACAGCTTCAGACACTCAAACACTCTAAAGGAGCACAAGTGCATTAAGAAGGTGGAGGAAAGTTATGATCTATGAAACTGTCAAATCCATCAGGATACAGAGGTTAATATGGGTCGGCCAGCTCGCATAGGGCCTGTCCAGACACGTCAGGTATTTCTATGGAAAATTAACGTGAAAAACTTTCAAATTGTAAAACTTTGCTCCAGTTAGTTTTTGGATTTTTTCTAAAATTGCACCCTAAATATTGAGATTACTGCTTACAGAATGACTGAACACAGCTGACACTTTGTGTAAATATAACAATAATGTGGGGTCATTCCAGACCAACTTACCAAGGGCCATACAACATGTCAAAGTTGGGCTCCAATTAGGTTTTTAGTTGTGAAGTTGACCTCAACAGAATCTAAATTCTATCTTAAATATTGAGCTGACCTGTTTGCAGAGTGACTGAACTGAACTGAAATAATAAATGGTTATAAATACAGCACTGACAGAAATATCCCTCTTTAAGGCAATGGATTTTATAATAACACATTCCTTTAACACAAACCACATTAATAATAATAATAAATGACCATCATCCATTAAAGTTCATTTATCAGAAGATTTATGTTTTGTTTTTCAGATTGTGCAGCATTTTGTCTTCGAAAATTATTTTTCAGTTGCTTTTTACAAAATGCAGATTTTGTCATTGAATGTATGAGTTATTAATTTTTGTAGGCAGTATTTGAAGCCACAGAGTTCAAAATCCATTTTGTAGGACATTATTTTTCTCCAGAAGGGATTGATTCTATTTCATTTAAATTTTTTCTGGAATTATGTCTGATTAACACCTTAATAATTAATCAATTAATTCAATTAAATTAATCAAGATACAATTTAGAACATGGTGGGACTAACTTTATAAAATTCATAACTAAACAGTATTTTGAGTACAGCTTTGAAATTTGGTATAGTTGCATGAATTAAATTGGTTTTTTTTTGTTTGTTTGTTTGTTCATTTTTTGTTTTTGTTTGTTTGATTTTGGATGGAATTCGATGATGTGACCGGACAGGCACTACATGAGCATTTAACAAAATCTAGTTTTATGTAGTATTGCTACATTTAATGCAAAACACTTATTTATTCATTTCTGCATGTGTTCAAAATGGCTTCACAAATAAATATATTTGAGGCATTTTTGACCAAATATTTTCTCTTTTTACTTTTTCATGTGTGTTACTGAAGAATCCTTAAATTTTTGAAGGTTTTAATTGCGTTTATAACAGTTTAAATTAATATAATTACTGCCTTTAAGCTAAGAGATTACATGTTTTTAGATTGTTAAGCTTTTTAACTCATTGCAAGAAACATTTTTAAGTTTAGGAGTTATTCCACTGCTGCTGTTGCTGCTCCAACTTTAAAGCTCACAATGACAATAAACCACAGAAAGTTTTATATATATATATATATATATATATATATATATATATATATATATATATATATATATAAATATATATATATATATATATACATATACTTTTTTGGTTGCTTTCTGCATTTTATTTATTTATTTGGCTTGACTTATTTTTAATTATGTTAATGAAAAACAGGTCCCGGCGGTGATGTCACAGGTGGTGAAATAGAGGTTTTGTATAAAACAATAATTTAGATTTTTTGTTGCAGTTTGGCCAGCATTCGCATAATTCTCAGAATATTTATTAAACTCAGATTATGAGCACAGAAGTGTGCATTCGGAGCATTCTCGCCACCAGCCTGCTAAATAGTGCTACTGATTACAGGAACCGCTTATGATATCACTGAGGTGAGTCATGAGTACCAGCAAGACCCATCATCAACCATCTCCAAAGACAGTTCAATAATAATAGCATTATTTATATATAAACATACTGTTTTTTATTTTTATTTATTTTGGCTTTTTGGTTTGCTTTGATTCATAGTGGAGATGGTTGATGTTGAATCTTGTTAATCTGTTTCATTTGTGAAATTAATAAATATTGCATTTTAATGCTGTCTGAACCTTTTCTGTTCTTTAAGCCTCTTTTTTCAAGAAGTCACTGAGATGTTTTTGATAAAACTGATATTAATGTAGAATTTTATTACACTTTAGATTATTACATGATTGAAAAAATATTACAGTATTGAGATCCACAAACACAAAAACGTAATAATGTAAATACAATACGTGAGCATGTTCAGCAAAATAATAAATACATCAAAATAATTATTTCCTTTATAAATGTTGCACGTGTTGCAACATATCTTTAACATTTCAGTATTTCACGCCAAACACTGATTAGCTGATCTCCTTTTTGTAAGTTGAGAATGAAGAAACATTCCTGAAGATAAATGTAAATCATTCAGTCTCGTTTGTTTCTTAGTTTGATATGTATGTGGTGTAAAAAGTGCAGTACAGTGTTCAGTGTTTAACTGGGTGTTTATGAAACAGACTCTTATTCTAATTGATTAAAAGAAAGATGAGTTCAATTTTGGGGTGGGAACTGTTTTAGATGCTGCTGCTATGGCGATGTGAATGACCTCTCAACTGTCCAGTAAACAGACTGCTCTTATGCACTCCTAGCCATTCGTACCTCAGGAGGCAGGTTTTTTGGTGCGATAAGTGACAGTAGTAACCCTGAAAAGGCTGAATTAGATGTGGTAATACCAAAAAAGAAAAGTTCAAGATGAAGAACGTGTGATTATCCACCTGACAGGCTGAGTGGGGGAGAAGTTAAACTGGCGGCTCTACTGTAACATCATAAATTGGCGTGTTGGAGAGCTGCCAACAGAAATGAAATAAGGTATTAACAGTCTGAGACAAGCCACAAGTTGATATGGGATTTCTGAGAGAGGTCTGACTTAAACCATGAGTACATAGAAATATCAGAGTTTAAGATTCTATTTGCATGAACCACATTTATTTTGATAGAAGAGGAAACTCTTCTGGGTGGAAATCTAGTGAAGCAACAGATCTGGGGCTTCATTAAAATCATCACCCACCACCAACTGTCTGATGGTCATTCAGCAGAAAACAACAAGACAACGCAACTTCCTATTTATGTCAGCATAAACAGAATGTTTTCCGTTTTTTATGAGGGGGAACAGGTTACAGGTTTGGGTAACAGGGTCATACATAAAATGTGGGACACTGGCTAAAATGACTTTTTTGTTAAATAAATTATTAGGGAAAATATGTTTTTACATTAAATTGCTCGGAAATGAATTAGATGACACTGTAATTATGCTGTTAGATTTTAATGAGTATATTTCATAGAGAAGTTCGGTGCCAGTGAGGTGGGCCAACCCAAGATCACCGTATTAAAGGTGCATATAGACATTTTATGTGTTTTGTGGTCATTTAAATGTGAATTTAATTTATTTTAAGTTAAAGTACAAATTCCTTCACTTTTCACAGAAATAAAAAAACAACATCAAAAGTTATGTTATCACGTTTAAAAGGTAATGGAACATATTCATATTCATGGAAAGTGCATTTTAGATTCCTGCTCCTTGTAGTTTTCGTGAGAGAGCCATTTTCTCGTTATACTGTTTTAGTCTTACATTACATTCCTGAAAACAACATTCACAATCTCAGTTTGATCATCTCTCAGGAAGGGATAAAATGGGCCAATATCTCAACTTTCTCACCATTTAAGTGACCACAAAAAGAGTGAGTAAGAGAATTCAGTACATTTCAATGAGTAATACGCTGCTCTGTATTAGAACACGTGACATTAACAACTACCTTCAGACTCTCTCACTTGTTTGCACTGTAAATAACGGTAATAAAAAGAAGCTCTGCTGCGTCACCCACTGTTTTACTATAGAAGTGAATGGACAGGCGTTCCGGTAGGGGGCGCTACTGCTCTGTGGAGGAACTACAGTGAACTCAGTCCACGCCTCCGCGCTGCTACAGTGTTGCTGGAGGAGCCGAACAGGAGCTGCTCTCATCGAGGTACAACTCAGTTTAACAGCTCTACATTGGCTTTTACTGCACCAGCTCACTAACGCTGGGAGAGATGTTCACTTTCTGAACAGCAGGGTGAAAATATGGAGACCAGCTCAGGAGCAGCTTTAATCCAGACTTCACTGAACAGGAGGACTTACTGATACATTATCAGAGCTTGGAAACATAATGGATGTAAGGTTTGGTAGAGATACCGGCTGTTAGTTATGTTTATACTTGATTTATACGATAAATACTCGAAAACATTATTCGGATTTATCGTGGAGTCTCGTTGAAGGTCTGGTCTGTGTAGATGCTGCATCATGGCGAGGCTGAAGTTAGCCTGTTGTTCGAATTTTTCGTTCCACCTTAAATGGTGCAGCAGTTACTTTGTAGTAGCTGCTTTTAAGGTGGAACGGCCAATTCGATACTGTTTACAGGCAGATTCTCTTTCAGGAAGGTTACAAAAGCCTGTCAAGCGTCCAACAGTGCAAAAAGGCTTTATTAGCACGATGGGCTTCTGTTGATTTTCATTAAAAAGAACGCGATTCAGTTTCACCTCGTTTATTATCTGTCTAGGGGCCCTTCAACCTGAGTAAAACAGAACTACAGCTCTCTGAATATTGTCATTAAGAACATAAACCCAACATTAATAATGATGTTTTATTTACTAACGCAGACATTATTACTAAATCTGTTATGGTTAATGTGAGACAGGCTGAAGGATGATTGTAATGGATGATGTGAATGAAATACACTCCAAAAAGGTGGTTTTTCAAGGGTTCTTTAGTAAAGACAGTGGTTCTATATAGAACCATGAACACTCAACGAACCTTTTGCATGCTTAAATAGTGTTCTCTGCATGGTGAACTTGTTCTTCAGATTGATGGAGAATGTGTTGTATATGTGTTGTATATGGTTCTATAAGTTCACCATGCAAAAAAAACATTTAAGCATGCAAAAGTTCTTTGAATGTTCATGGTTCTATATAGAACCATTGTCTTTACTAAAGACCCCTTGCGGGACCACCTTCTTTGAGTGCTCATATTAATTAGTGATAAACTAGCATAATTATTGTTTTGGAACAGAACTGAAAGATTAATCATTTTTATGTCAAAATCACAAGTGCAATTTTAATTTGCAACTTTAATTATAGACGATGTTACCCACAATGTCTTTTCAATGAGTTTTGAATGGGAAATGACGGAGTTTGTGAGCTGTCTGTGGATGAGTTTGACCAACCAAAAGCAAACAAACATCCATGTTATGTGTACATAACAACACAACCACAACAGCTTTCAGTATATGTGTTGGTCTTCTTGGCCAAAACATCCAGCCTGTGGTCACGTTCATAATATATCTTTGAATTTTGGCCTTTGTGAGCTGCAGGTCCAGCCTTAATAATTAGAATATTTGGGTATTAGATTGTTATGTTGGTATTTGTTTCTTTATTTAGTGTTCTGAAGCTTGTTTTTGTGCAAGCTTAAGGCTGGCTTTACACGGTCAAACCTTCCTTCAACTTTAGTTGCTTGAAACCTACATGAAAGTGAATAGAACTTGAGTTGCATAATGTAAAGCGTCCTGCAACTCCCTTGATACTCAGCCGCAACAGTTGCAAGTGCACAAGTGGCATGGAAAAAGTTTCATGTAACAGCCAATCAAAGCACCAATAATGCATCACATGATCATGTCAAACCATGTACTTTCAAACAAGTGAATTCACCAGATCAGTGGAGAAGTAAAAAAAACTGAAGACGGTTTATTAGGTAGTTGAAAAGCATTTTTATTTTGTCTGTTTTCTAAACAGACTAAAATGAGTTTCATTTTTGTGTTAACTAGCCAGCTAATGCTAACAGCTGTTTAAACAGCTGGTTGTGTAGCTTTTATCCTTTAGCTGCTTTTATTGTGATATACATACCTAGATTTCTTTTTCCTCTTTTGACACCCCTTAATTTTACACAGATCAGATTCATTTGGGATCAAAACAAAACGTTTACAGAAGCGGAGACTGAGATATTCCTCAAAGAACTTGTGCCTCTATGACAAGATGAGTGAAACATTAATTTTCTAAGTCTTAAAATTTGCACAACAGATTAAAACACAAAATTCTAGCAAAGAATCCTCAGTAGATAAACAAAACACAGATGGCAATGACAGCTGGAAAAAATAAGATATTAAAAATGCTGCAAATATGTAAATAACTTCACTGATTACTTTAAAGTATGAGTTGCTAATGGAGTAACTGAATGTGTTGCATGCAACTGTTTTTGAATTGCTTTCTGTATCTATCAAGCTGCATCAAAATTATGTTGCAGGCAACTCACAACATGCAAGTAGTTGCATCAGAGTTTCACCATGTAAAGCCAACCTTAGATCCCAACAGAATTCTAGAACATTCTTGTGGATTCGTGACCATTTTCAGAGTTGGAGGCTTTTTTACCACTATTTTAAACAAAACATTTGATTATAAATCCAGAAGATAACAACAATTACTTAGCAATGGATGTGATACTATGCTTTAGAGTCATGTCATACTTAGGTACTGTTATCTACAGGCTGAACACAGCCACCCTCCTCCTGCAGTTTTACAGTGTCTGTTCTTTTCTTTTAAAGACTGAAGCAACAGTCTTAGGAAGGATATTAAAACGATAAAAACATTTAAACACAGGGAAACGTCAGTTAGTTTGTCTTCATTGGTTTAGCTGATTCCTATGAGACGTGAACAACTGTAAATCTGACACAAAACATTAAAATAACTTGCCAAGTCATCAGTACTGAACAAGCTTTATGTTTACCTTTCAGAGTTATTTCATCTGTAATAGAAATTAGAGCACTAATTTATTAATGGAGTATGAACTTTCTGAGTACTTTCTGAGAGCTGGTGATGTTTGGTGGGAGTTGTTGGTCAATGGCTGGTAGATTTAAAGGAGTCACAGCTGGTGGTCATTGTCTTTGGTGAGTGATTGACGGCTTTATGAATTGTGGATGATTGAGGGGTCAAATGTTTAGGAATCTGATGACCTGGTAGTAGAAACATTGTACTTCATTGCTTCCCAAGCAGAAATAAGTATAAACACACAGGAATGCAGGAATGTCAGGTACAGCCTAAACAAGTTATTAATCTGTATTTAAAACTGATATATTCCTGATATTCTCTGGAATGCTGTTCCAGAGCTTAAGAGCTCTATAAGAAACTGATCTTCCACCATCTGAGTTCAGTCCTAAACGAAGTTGTCATGGTGGCTAAACAGATAAGACTTCAGTGTTAAGGTGTTTCTGTATCCCTCCTAGACACCACCCTTTTTCATTCTCAGATATGAGCCCCTTATTTTAGGTTAAACAACATTCTTTATTAATATAATAGTAATTTGAGATCATTGACTTTAGCATGAGTGCCTGAACATGAGTGCAGTAAAGAACGTGACTGAGAAGGCATTTTCCCCAGCATAGCTTTTTCATTAACTACTCCAGGTGATGTTAGCTCAGTTCCGAGACAGTGAATGTATATTTCTCTGAAAGAAACATGTTGACACGTCGTCCACTGAGGAGAAAAGACTGTGTAGAGTCTATTTCAGCATCTTACGCTGTACCAGTTAGCATTAGCTCATTGGGTCCTCTGAAGAGGCAGCCTCCATTATTTAGTCAATACGAATCCCCCTTTTTATTGTTCATTTTTTTCTGACCAGATGTCTGTCCATTAACTCTTACGGATACTTGGATGTCAGATTACTCTGAATGCACATCCCTAAAAAGTACCCATTAGTTGAATCCATTGGTCAGCATGCTCAACTGGGCATGTGATCTTCAATGGCGCTGTACCAAATAAATATGTTATTTGTCCTGGGCATTCTGGCAGTCATTAACGTTGAATCCTGTAGAGGCGTCATCAAGCATAGTAGGGCTGGGCAATATGACAATATTTATCGTCATTGTGATAATTCGTGATTATATTTTGGATATCATTAGTACTTCTAGATTACTGACCAACTGTATGTGCCATTACAATAAGAGCATGATTAGTCATGTTTGATTTGGATTTAGTGCAGTGCAGTATGTGAAATGTTAAATAAAAATTATTGTACTCCTAGTTTTTGATAGTATTTTTTACTACTAAGTGCCACTACTGGGGTTTTTTGTATGCTCCACCTTATTAGTTGTCAGAAAAATAAATATCATTACATGTTGTGTATCCTGAAAATATCTTGAAATATCATGATATTGTACTTTGCCATATCACCCACCACTAAAGCATCAGCTGATAAGTGAAGGTGAAGAGAAGCTAAGAAAGGAGTGATGTGCTTTTGAGTTCTGTTCCAATGAGAGCCTGGTCTCTCAGCGCATTGCAGTAATCCAGGTGGATGACATAAAAGCATGAAGATTTTTTTCAGTATCTTTAAAAGACAGACCTCTTCTCACTTTAGCAGTGTTTCTCAAATGAACAATCCACGACGTGGTGTGTTAAGAAAAGACCAGCTTCAAAAACAACACCTAGACACACATCCTAAAATGAGATTCATTTACAATGGCTTGCAGGTAGGGGGCACTAGATTCCAACAGTTCTTTTCAGATGTTAGTGGAGATCACACCAAGGGACTAGAAGATGGGCATAAGCACTTTCCAATTTTACTGCTTTCTCCATTGAATTAGGTGTAAACTCTGGATATGTGCCTGCAAAAGGGCAAGGACATACAATATTATCTCTGATATTATTGGTATTAAAAAATTAAGAGTTGTTTGCAGTAAATACTGGAAACAGAGACTTGTTGTGTTTGTTAACCACAATCATATTGCTAAAAAGAGCTGCCCTTACATTATGAACACTAGTATTGTATGAAGCCATGAAAAAACTGGAGAAGAGGTTGAGTAGCCGGAGCAGGAGTGGCAAGTAATGGTTGGAACTAGGCTCTGCAGGAAGGACGTTCTCCAGGAACAGCTTTGAGACCACAGTTAAACATGCATTGATCGTTTTCACCTATGTTCAGCTTGTATGCTTTTTTGGAGTAAAGTGCCACGGTTTTATGTAAGGAAAGGAATTTACTAATGATTTGATCCAGGTCTTTACAGACAGTCTTTTCTAACCGTGTCTTTTGTTCAGATGTTGCCCAAAGTATTGTGGGAATAACAAATCAGGGACCCAATATCATGAATCAGATCAGAACATTGGCTGAGTTTATCGTATGACCCGTATTATCAAACTATTAAGTGACCCCTCATGCCCTGTGGAAGGTGACACTATCATCCTAGGGGAGACCACTCATATCAGAATAGAAAGATAAAGGTGATCATTCAGAATAACTGATTTTCTGTGACCCCTCCCCTCTGAAGGCTAGAAGTGCCATAAGTGTGAATGTAAGTGGACCCAAACCATGTCAGCAAAATGCCCCACAGCAGAACAGAGCTATCGGACCCACTCACTGCAGGGGTCCAGCATTCAGACCGGTACCCTTCTCTTGGTGCACGCTGCACTCTTTCACTTGTGGAGAACATGGTGACTCACCTGACCAGATCACTGTTCTCCATGTCTCTGTAGACCAGTGCTGATGGTTTTTACACCATCGACTTCTCAAATGGTCAGAGAGGTTTCTGCAGTGCAGCTCCACTATAATATTACTCTCTGTGTAGTTGTAGACGTCTTTCTGACAGCCTGATCACGTTCTGCATCGACATTTTCAGTCAGCTGAGGAACATCTGCTAATAAATATCACATTAATGCACGAGCATCACGCTCACTGAATATGCACTTTCACCAGTTTCCAGCCCTGTTTACTGATGTCTTTCCCACAGATTTAAATGCAGAGCTCACTTAAGTCTCTGTTCCTGTTCTCTCCATCCCTGACCCAATAAAGAATCCTCTTTCAAAGTCATTTTTTTCTTGATCATCTTGATGCAAAATCAAAGTCAGTTTTTTTACCTGCCACAGAGCATAGTAGGATTAGTAGTAGTAATTGCTTAATTGGATCATACAGTTGGCTGGAGGCATCGGCACTCGTTATGTTTCTCTCTTAGTCAGATTTTTTCCTTTTTTCCTTCCCGTCTGTAGATCACATAGTACTCACTACACAGTTTCTGCATAATGAAGTAATGAAATGTATTTTTAATAAAAAAATATGAAAGTCTAAGTTTTATGCTAAGAAGCAGTAGATATTGATGGGGGGGCAAGAAATGATACCTTTAGAGAACAGAGGACCGGCAGAATTTCATCAGCTGTAGTTTCTTCTGTTTGAGAGCAGTTGAGGTTATGGTGCTGTGATGAAAATGCCCCACTAGTCAACCACAGGCACTGGTTAGCTTATTCATGCTGGTAGCCTTAAATCCATCACTAATGGCCAAATGAAGTATGTGGACAAAAGAAGGGGTCAATTCCCAATCAGAAGGATCAAGGAGTGGCTTCTTAAAAAATGGCTTGAAGAGCTGAAGTCCCTTTTATACCTGGTATTAACATCCATCTTGAGTCATCTTGTCATATGTGAACAGTGAGATGGATAATTGTTTATACCTGGCACCTAACCCATTTATGCTCAAAGAATTTCACCTCAGTCTTTTTCTCAAATTTCCTCAAATTTGGTGTGAGGCCAGAATGTGACCAAACAAGAACTTTTTTGTTCTTGCAAAATTATTGCATTACATTAACATTAGGCGTATCTGCAACACTTCTAATGCTTTTGTTGCATTTCTACATTGTCTTTATCATTTTTATTCATCTGTTTCTCTTCCAGAAATGAACAACATCTCCTGCTTCTATTGTCCACTTTCCTACATACTTTAAATTTACCTCCACAAACACATTAGGAGATCATATCACGAGGAGTACATCAGGAGAAACATGACCTCCAAAAGTAACTCCAGTGCTGAGTCCTCTGATATTCTCTATGCGAACATATTTTACAGACAAACGCAGAAAAATGCAAGCAAGGAGAAAACCCACCACTGCCTGGACTGTGGGAAGAGCTTTAGAGACAGATGTGGCCTCCAAACCCATCAGCGTGTTCACACAGGAGAGAAACCATTCCAGTGCCCGGACTGTGGGAGGAGTTTTAATGTACAGAGTAGTCTTCAGGTACATCGGCGCATCCACACAGGAGAGAAACCCTATCAGTGCCTAGAGTGTGGGAAGAGCTTTCATGTCCACAGTCATCTCCAGAGACATCAGCACATTCACACAGGAGTGAAACTGTATCACTGCTCAGAGTGTGATAAGAGTTTTACTCGACAGAGTACCCTCGATCTGCACCAGCGCATTCACACCGGAGAGAAGCCGTATCTCTGCTCAGAGTGTGGGAAGAGTTTTACTGCCCAGTCTCATCTCCACAGACACCAGCTCATTCACACTGGAGAGAAACCGTATCACTGCTCGGTATGTGGAAAGAGTTTTAATCAACTAAGTCATCTCCAGCAGCACCAACGCATCCACACTGGAGAGAAGCCGTATCTTTGTCCAGAATGTGGAAAGAGTTTTACTCTGAAGAGTCATTTTGAAACTCATCAGCGTCTTCACACCGGAGAGAGGCCGTATTACTGCTCACAGTGCGGCAAGAGCTTTAATCAACACAGTCACCTGCGACTGCACCGGCGTACTCACACAGGAGAGAAACCGTACGACTGTCCAGACTGCGGAAAGGGTTTCAATCAAAGAAGTCATCTCCAGCAGCATCAACTTATTCACACCGGAGAGAAACCGTATCACTGCTCAGTGTGTGGAAAGAGCTTCAGGCATCCCAATTCTTTTAAAGCACACAAGTGCATTAAGAAGGAGGAGGAAACTGATGACCTGTAACTCAAAAATCAAGATTTCTAGGTTCACATTAGAGGGGAACCCTCAGAGCCTTCTAAGCCTTCAGAGAAGGCCTAATCATTTCTGGGAACTAAAAAAACATGCCTGCAATTATTTAATAATAGAGTTATCATGATTGTTGTAATTGAATACTGCAAGTATTGTAGTAATACTTTTGTTTCATTGGCTTTGTCCAAAATAGCATACTGTGTACCGCAGTGGTCACCAACCCTGGTCATGCAGATCGACCTTCCTGTGAAGTGTAGTTGCAGCTACAATATGCCACACCTTCTCCACCTCATTAGCATCTTTAAATGCCTTTGATTAGCTGGATTAGCTTTAGAGAAAGGGGAAGAGAGTATGCTAGATGCAGGTTGGAAATGAACTCTGCAGTAAAGTAGTTTTTTAGGGAGAGGATTGGTGACCACTGATGTACTCTATACTGCATACTGCTCCAGTATATACTGTATACTGCATACTCTTCATCTGTAGTATGCAGTAATGTATCCAGTATACAACAAAAGCTATGTGCTGTTCTACAGGGCAGGGGTGTGACTAGACTGCCAACATCAGTGAGAGGAATAAAAGGCCTTCTAGAAGTTCCGGATACTTCACTGACTGAACATGAGCGGTTGTCTAAGCAGTGTTTCGGGTAGTTACATTTACATTTACATCATTTAGCAGACGCTCTTATCCAGAGCGACTTACAAAAAGTGCTTTGTCTATCCAGAGAAAGTATCTTCGCTAGTTATCAATAGGTTAGAGAGAAAGCCAGTCCTAAGCTCAGATACTGCTAGAATCAGAAGGTCATTGACACCTAGAGAAAAAGGGACAGAGTTAAACACAGAGCAGTGCAATACAATACAATACATAAGTGCTGTACAATACATTACAACCAATACTTAATTCAGTGCTCATTTAAGTGCTGTATAAACAGATGTGTCTTCAGTCTGCGTTTGAAGACAGCGAGAGACTCTGCTGTACGGACAGCCAGTGGGAGTTCGTTCCACCACCTGGGTGCCAGCACAGAGAACAGTCTAGATGCTTGCCTTCCACGCGCCTTGAAGGATGGCGGGTCAAGTCGAGCTGTGCTGGAAGCTCGAAGGGCTCGTGGTACAGTTCGAGATTTGACCATTGCCATCAAGTAGGGAGGGGCTGGTCCATTTTTGGCTTTGTAGGCAAGCATAAGGTTTTTAAATCTGATGCGTGCAGCTACAGGAAGCCAGTGAAGGGAGCGCAGCAGTGGGGTGACGTGGCTGAACTTTGGGAGATTGAAGATGAGTCTTGCTGCTGCAGTTAGGAAAACAGCAGTTAGGAAAACAGGGTAGTTAGGAAAACCGCGGCAGCAGGTCTGCCAGGACTTATCACTAAAACAGTCACTGTACAACTAACACATATAAGTTCAAATATATGTTCATGTCTGTTGCAATCTTAAAATAAAACATGGAATGTCTTTTGTGCACCTGCATTAGCTAGGTTTAACACGAACATACTATTAGAAATCCTGTGGGGACACTAGCAGAAATTAGCATCACTGTAGAAGTATAGTTTTTTTTATATTTACAGCCCAAACTGAAGACCTAGCTCTAATAGTCAATGTTCACCAACAGTTAATGTATGTCGTTCCTTGCCAACTTATATAGGGCTTGGAATATATATATATATATTCTGTACCTAAGAAACTTTTCAGCTTTATTATCATAGAACATTGAATCAAAGTGAAAATATTTCTTCAAAGTGATTTACGTGATCTACAAATATAAAAAACAAAGTATCTGATTGCACAAGTATTCACCCACATCGAGTCATTGTTCAGTAGATGCACCTTTAGCAGCATTCACAGCCTTGAGTGTGTGTAAATAGAGACTCCATATCAGATTTGCACATATGAGCACTGCAGTTTCCTCTCATACCTCTGCTCAAGCTACATCCATGGGGATCGAGCCTGAACAGCCTTTTTAAAGTCATGCCACAAGTTTTCTATTGGATTGAGATCTGGACACTGACTCTGGCACTCCAGGACATTCATATTGTTGTTTGTAAGCCATTTCTCTGTAGCTTTGGCTGCATGCTTGGCATCATTGTCATGTGGGAAGACACATCCTCTTCTAAGGCTCAAGTTTCTTGCAGTCGGAGATTTTACTCCAGGATCTCACTGTATTTTGCTGCATTCTTTCTACACTCACAAGCCTTCCAGGGCCTGCTGCAGAGAAACATTCCCACAGAATGATGCTGCCTCCACCATGCTTCCCATTAGGGGTGGAGTGTTTGAAAGCTCAATTTTGGTGCCTTCAGACCATCAAACCTTCTTCCAGCCAAGTTCAGAGTCTTCCACAGGCTATCTGGGAAACTGTAGCTGAGAGGTGGTGAGTTTTATTTAACGTTGTTTTTTCCACTCTATGTGACTAGTGAAGCACCCATGCATCAGTAGTTGTCTCTCCAATCTCAGCTACTAAGGTTTGCAACTTTTTTTGAGATGTTATCGGTGGCCGCCCTTACTAGTCTCTTGTATGCCGGTGGTTTGTGCTTTTCTTGCCACAGAGTTGTGTGGAGTGCTCATGAGGATATGGTGTAGGTTATGCCATGATACTGACTCACTGGACCATCCAAATGCAGGTGTATTTATATTACAATTGCTTGCAACCCCTTGATTGCACACAGGTGACCTCCAATTAACTAATTCTGTGAATGCCAATTAGCTGCACCAGTGATGATTAAAAAGAGTCATGTTGATTGGGTGAATTCTTATGCAATCAGGTATGTTTTGTTTTACTTTCACTTTGCAGAGATCATTTTTTTTTTACTTTGACATGTTCCTATTTATTAGTGTAAAATGTTTCTATGATAATAACATGGGAAAACAAAATCTCAATGCTGTACATGGGAATATCAGCAAAACAATAAAAAACACTACACTCTAAATGAAAATAACAGCACAAGTCCACAGTGGAGAAAATGAGTGTCATTACTTATAGTTTAATGTCGTTCCAGAGTTTGCATAAGTAAACAATATTCCACCAACTGTCCTATAACAGATGCTGGACGTTCGCAGTGAGGCTGCCTCAACTGAGTGAAGGGATCTGGATGGCTAAAATGTGCTCAAGCTCAAACATTCATATGACCAGACTTGGTGAGCTTGTGGGCTTCTGCACTCTGAACTAGTCTGAGCTGATTTAGAGAGAGAGCAGAATGACCAGCCAGTAACATGTACAGTAGATTAATCTAGTAGATATGCAAGCATGAACTCATTTCTCAGCATCTTGTAGAACCGTATGTGTCTATTTTGAATGCTTCTCAAATAATATAACTCAGTCTTAGTGATGTTACTGATATGGGCATCCAGTATTTTCAAAAAAGCTTCTGAGCTAAAATTCAATTTCAGAGTCTTTTCTTGACCTTATACCTTCTTAAAATGGACTAGTCCTGTTTTCTCAGAACATCTTGAACAGTTATGTCTCATTAAGGTAAAAGCAAATTACAAATGTGCTGTGACTTCTTCATGGTTTATCATTTCAAATTTGCTTTTTTCTCAAGATTCATTTTTCTTTTTCCTTTTTATTCAATTTTTGTCTGTGTGTGGATCAGAAAACCTGCTGGACAAGTTCCAACAATAAATCTGACAAGGACAATGTAGTGGACTCATGGACTCATGTTTGTTACTAAAAAGTTCTGGAAGTATATTAAATTCATACTGTATATTGTGATGTTGTATTCATAATTTTTGTTAGTGATGTAATGATTGTCTTTTATGCTAATTGAATTCACACATGTTGTAGCATTACTAATAGCTAAGGTTTTAAAACTTACAACTAGCTTCAAGACCTGTTTTTAAGATGGGCTTCAGATGACAAGTGGAACTAAGTTGTGAATTACATGCTGTATTATGTCATTTTCACAAATATTGTATTTTTATTCTTAGGTAGTTTGGTTAATTAATGAATTTTGAAGCTGTCTAGTTAATAACTGACAATAAACTGGATTTCCATCTGTGAACATAGATGATTGTCTTTTATTTAGATATTCATGTAAAATGTGCAGTAAACAATTCAGCTTTTTTAGGTTGGTTTTTAATTGTATGTGAGATCAAAACATTTTTAACATTTTTAATTTTTTTGAAAAGTTACTATCAGAGGTTTTGTATATCAAATGGACAGAAGAGCAGCGAAAAACTGATGATGAAAGTCACAAATATCAGTAAAAATGTTCAAATGTTGTTTATCCGCACAACTACTCCAGATTAGTTAAGCTAGAATGTATAAAACTGATTTTGAACCAAACTAATTTCCAATTACAAACCTGCCTTCTCCAGATATTCTTATTAATGTTAATGAAAAAAGGCAAAAATTAACAATAATATTTTATTATGGAATGCAGTGAACTGATGGTGGGTCCACAGACACACCACTTGAAACATTTCAGATATAACCTGATCTCTTCGTTTTTTGTGAACGAAGCTGAGGTTCTACTTGATTAAATAAAGATGAGTCGACTTGATTTAATTTAAGGGTGAAAACTCTGAGGTTAAAACTCGTTTGTTAGATTTTCTTGTTTAAAAAAATACATGTCCCTCCTGGATCCACCAGGCTCTGCTCACATGTTTCCAGTGTGGTTCCCTCTGCAGTCCAAGTGGGGGCGCTAATTCTAGCCGTGTGGTTCCCCCTGCAGTCCAGGTGGGGGGCACTAATTTTATCAGTGTGGTTCCCCTGCAGTCCAGGTGGGGGGCGCTAATTGTATCAGTGTGGTTCCCCTGCAGTCCAGGCGGGGGCGCTAATTGTATCAGTGTGGTTCCCCTGCAGTCCAGGTGGGGGGCGCTAATTGTATCAGTGTGGTTCCCCTGCAGTCCAGGTGGGGGCACTAATTTTATCAGTGCGGTTCCCCCTGCAGTCCAGGTGGGGGCACTAATTTTATCAGTGTGGTTCCCCTGCAGTCCAGGTGGGGGCACTAATTGTATCAGTACGGTTCCCCTGCAGTCCAGGTGGAGGCGCTAATTGTATCAGTGCGGTTCCCCTGCAGTCCAGGTGGGGGCGCTAATTGTATCAGTACGGTTCCCCTGCAGTCCAGGCGGGGGCGCTAATTGTATCAGTGCGGTTCCCCTGCAGTTCAGGTGGAGGCGCTAATTGTATCAGTGCGGTTCCCCTGCAGTCCAGGTGGAGGCGCTAATTGTATCAGTGCGGTTCCCCTGCAGTCCAGGTGGAGGCGCTAATTGTATCAGTGCGGTTCCCCTGCAGTCCAGGCGCTAATTGTATCAGTGAGCTTCTCCAACCCCAGTAAAGCGGAGAAGCAGAAGCTCCGCTCTGGTCAGCAGTCCACGCCTCCGCGCTGCTACAGTGTTGTGGACAGACAGGAGCTGTTCTCATCGAGGTCAAACGTTTTGTAAAAAAAAAATAATATGTTTTTTGTTTATGCTTTATATATTCTTCACAAATAAATACTCAGATTGTGGTGTCTGGTGGGACTCTGGAGAGCTGAACTTAGACTGGTTTTGTGTTGATCTGCTGTGTTTCTTTCTGGGGTTTAATGTTAGATGTTTACTGCATGTATTTCTCTGCTCCACTAACAGGTTTTCTGTCAGGAGCAGATATTATAAACCAATATGAAAATGACTGGGTGGATTTAATAAAAAAATAAATTAGGAAATATGTATGTATGTTATGACGATATGAACTGTGGCTATGTGTGCATTGAGGTAGAGTAGCAGGTTCTAGAGTAAAATGAAGTACTTTCTGAGAGCTACTCATGTTTTATTAGGGGTTTAAGTAATGTTTGGGTGGGAGTTGCTGGTCAGTGGCCGGTAGATAAAGAGAATGTAGAAGTCACTGCAGCCGTTCTCTGTGGTGGGTGATGGGGGGTTTTATAGAGGTGTCTATGGTGGGAGATGGGGAGGTTTTATAGAGGTGTCTATGGTGGGTGTTTGAGGGTATTGTAGAGTTGTCTGTGGTGGGTGTTTGAGGGTTTTGTAGAGTTGTCTGTGGTGGGTGTTTGAGGGTTTTGTAGACTTGTCTGTGGTGGGTGTTTGAGGGTTTTGTAGAGTTGTCTGTTGTGGGTGTTTGAGGGTTTTGTAGAGTTGTCTGTGGTGGGTGTTTGAGGGTATTGTAGAGTTGTCTGTGGTGGGTGTTTGAGGGTTTTGTAGAGTTGTCTGTTGTGGGTGTTTGAGGGTTTTGTAGAGTTGTCTGTGGTGGGTGTTTGAGGGTTTTGTAGAGTTGTCTGTGGTGGGTGTTTGAGGGTTTTGTAGAGTTGTCTGTGGTGGGTGTTTGAGGGTATTGTAGAGTTGTCTGTGGTGGGTGTTTGAGGGTATTGTAGAGTTGTCTGTGGTGGGTGATGGGGGGTTTTATAGAGGTGTCTATGGTGGGTGATGGGGGTTTTATAGAGGTGTCTGTGGTGGGTGTTTGAGGGTATTGTAGAGTTGTCTGTGGTGGGTGTTTGAGGGTTTTGTAGAGTTGTCTGTTGTGGGTGTTTGAGGGTTTTGTAGAGTTGTCTGTGGTGGGTGTTTGAGGGTTTTGTAGAGTTGTCTGTGGTGGGTCTTTGAGGGTATTGTAGACTTGTCTGTGGTGGGTCTTTGAGGGTTTTGTAGAGTTGTCTGTGGTGGGTGTTTGAGGGTTTTGTAGAGTTGTCTGTGGTGGGTGTTTGAGGGTTTTGTAGAGTTGTCTGTGGTGGGTGTTTGAGGGTATTGTAGAGTTGTCTGTGGTGGGTGTTTGAGGGTTTTGTAGAGTTGTCTGTTGTGGGTGTTTGAGGGTTTTGTAGAGTTGTCTGTGGTGGGTGTTTGAGGGTTTTGTAGAGTTGTCTGTGGTGGGTGTTTGAGGGTTTTGTAGAGTTGTCTGTGGTGGGTGTTTGAGGGTATTGTAGAGTTGTCTGTGGTGGGTGTTTGAGGGTATTGTAGAGTTGTCTGTGGTGGGTGATGGGGGGTTTTATAGAGGTGTCTATGGCGGGTGATGGGGGTTTTATAGAGTTGTCTGTGGTGGGTGTTTGAGGGTATTGTAGAGTTGTCTGTGGTGGGTGTTTGAGGGTTTTGTAGAGTTGTCTGTTGTGGGTGTTTGAGGGTTTTGTAGAGTTGTCTGTGGTGGGTGTTTGAGGGTATTGTAGAGTTGTCTGTGGTGGGTGTTTGAGGGTTTTGTAGAGTTGTCTGTGATGGGTGTTTGAGGGTATTGTAGAGTTGTCTGTGGTGGGTGTTTGAGGGTATTGTAGAGTTTTCTTTGGTGGGTGATGGGGGGTTTTGTAGAGTTGTCTGTGGTGTGTGTTTGAGGGTTTTGTAGAGTTGTCTGTGGTGGGTGTTTGAGGGTATTGTAGAGTTTTCTTTGGTGGGTGTTTGAGGGTATTGTAGAGTTGTCTGTGGTGGGTGTTTGAGGGTATTGTAGACTTGTCTGTGGTGGGTCTTTGAGGGTTTTGTAGAGTTGTCTGGTGGGTGTTTGAGAGTTTTGTAGAGTTGTCTGTGGTGGGTGTTTGAGGGTTTTGTAGAGTTGTCTGTGGTGGGTGTTTGAGGGTATTGTAGAGTTGTCTGTTGTGGGTGTTTGAGGGTTTTGTAGAGTTGTCTGTGGTGGGTGTTTGAGGGTTTTGTAGAGTTGTCTGTGGTGGGTGTTTGAGGGTTTTGTAGAGTTGTCTGTGGTGTGTGTTTGAGGGTTTTGTAGAGTTGTCTGTGGTGGGTGTTTGAGGGTATTGTAGAGTTGTCTGTGGTGGGTGTTTGAGGGTATTGTAGAGTTGTCTGTGGTGGGTGATGGGGGGTTTTATAGAGGTGTCTATGGCGGGTGATGGGGGTTTTATAGAGGTGTCTGTGGTGGGTGTTTGAGGGTATTGTAGAGTTGTCTGTGGTGGGTGTTTGAGGGTTTTGTAGAGTTGTCTGTTGTGGGTGTTTGAGGGTTTTGTAGAGTTGTCTGTGGTGGGTGTTTGAGGGTTTTGTAGAGTTGTCTGTGGTGGGTGTTTGAGGGTATTGTAGAGTTGTCTGTGGTGGGTGTTTGAGGGTATTGCAGAGTTGTCTGTGGTGGGTGTTTGAGGGTATTGTAGAGTTGTCTGTGGTGGGTGTTTGAGGGTTTTGTAGAGTTGTCTGTGGTGGGTGTTTGAGGGTATTGTAGAGTTGTCTGTGGTGGGTGATTTAGGGTTTAATAGAGGTGTCTATGGTGGGTGATGGGGGGTTTTGTAGAGTTGTCTGTGGTGTGTTTTTGAGGGTATTGTAGAGTTGTCTGTGGTGGGTGTTTGAGGGTATTGTAGAGTTGTCTGTGGTGGGTGTTTGAGGGTTTTGTAGAGTTGTCTGTGGTGGGTGTTTGAGGGTTTTGTAGAGTTGTCTGTGATGGGTGTTTGAGGGTATTGTAGACTTGTCTGTGGTGGGTCTTTGAGGGTTTTGTAGAGTTGTCTGTGGTGGGTGTTTGAGGGTTTTGTAGAGTTGTCTGTGGTGGGTGTTTGAGGGTATTGTAGAGTTGTCTGTTGTGGGTGTTTGAGGGTTTTGTAGAGTTGTCTGTGGTGGGTGTTTGAGGGTTTTGTAGAGTTGTCTGTGGTGGGTGTTTGAGGGTATTGTAGAGTTGTCTGTGGTGGGTGTTTGAGGGTATTGCAGAGTTGTCTGTGGTGGGTGTTTGAGGGTATTGTAGAGTTGTCTGTGGTGGGTGTTTGAGGGTTTTGTAGAGTTGTCTGTGGTGGGTGTTTGAGGGTTTTGTAGAGTTGTCTGTGGTGGGTGTTTGAGGGTTTTGTAGAGTTGTCTGTGGTGGGTGTTTGAGGGTATTGTAGAGTTGTCTGTGGTGGGTGTTTGAGGGTATTGCAGAGTTGTCTGTGGTGGGTGTTTGAGGGTTTTGTAGAGTTGTCTGTTGTGGGTGTTTGAGGGTTTTATAGAGGTGTCTATGGCGGGTGATGGGGGTTTTATAGAGGTGTCTGTGGTGGGTGTTTGAGGGTATTGTAGAGTTGTCTGTGGTGGGTGTTTGAGGGTTTTGTAGAGTTGTCTGTTGTGGGTGTTTGAGGGTTTTGTAGAGTTGTCTGTGGTGGGTGTTTGAGGGTTTTGTAGAGTTGTCTGTGGT